ACGCGCGCACACACACACACACACACACACACACACACACAGTTTGCTGTGTAGCCATGGTTGTCCTAGAACTCACATTGCAGATAGGGGAGGTGGGGAATCGGTCCATCACACCAATGGAATCTTCAAGGCTCAATTTTCAGGCAGTGGTAATGTGTAATTGATCTGACAGTAAGCCCTGAGAGACAAAGGCTTAACTAACCCAATTGCTCTATAGGAGCGTCTTAAAGATTCCTCAACCTAACTTTGAACTAAATAGTTACTGAATACAGTTGTGATTCACAAATTAGGAAAAATACTTCAGCTCCCATCTGCAACTAGAAAGTAAGTAATGGGGGTGCCGCCCGACCAAGTGCAGGGAATCCGTAAGTTTCAAAACGCACAGCCATTTTTAGATAAGTGGGTGGCCCTGAAAAGGGCCTTTTGCGACTGAGAAAACGTAACTATCTTAACCGCCAAAGCCGTAGAGGGTGCGGCCCTGGCGCTTGAGCGCGTAGACCACGTCCATGGCAGTGACGGTCTTGCGCTTGGCGTGCTCCGTGTAGGTGACCGCGTCGCGGATCACGTTCTCCAGGAACACCTTCAGCACCCCGCGGGTCTCCTCGTAGATGAGACCGGAGATGCGCTTGACTCCGCCACGGCGAGCCAGGCGGCGGATGGCGGGCTTGGTGATGCCCTGGATGTTGTCGCGGAGAACCTTGCGGTGGCGCTTGGCGCCTCCTTTTCCAAGGCCTTTCCCGCCCTTACCACGGCCAGACATAGCTAAATTCTCTAGCTGTTTAAGCAAGATACTCAACCAAAATTGACTGCGACTTATTATAGGCGTCTATCGGACCTGGTTGAGAACCTCAAATGGGCGGTTACTAAAAGGCTGCCAACGCACTTTTTGCTCCGCCCTTCGCAGGGCGGAGATACAGAGCAGAACACAGTAAATATGGCCTTTCTGCAGCCCATCCAGGCATTCCCTGTCTTAGACTATGCTACTATTCTAACTTGTTGTATTTTTGTGTATTATCTAGCTAATAATTATACTTTTGTGGCTGAGTACTTGAATGAGTGAAAACATATACCGTTCTAAGTCATATACGTTTAAAGCATTAAAATGACAACAAAAATCTGGCATATGGATCCAGGTATTACTCTGGCCTGCCCTGTCACCTGGCAGAATGCACTTAGGCAGCCCAGGGTTCCATGATTGCTAATCAGTACACAGGTGCAAAGGACCCCTTTTTAAAAAAGACCTCCATCCACTTATGCTCTTTTTCTGACTCCTCTCCAGCTCTCTCTGCTGTCTCTTTCCTGTTCTTCCTTTGGGGCAGACAGGACTTTTCCTGTCTCCCTCTTCTTTTCTGTCCTCTCTGTCTCTATGTCTCTTTACCTCTCTTCTTTAACTCCTCCCTTTCCCTTTCTAATAAAACTACTAAGCTCAGTCTGCCTGTCATGTTTGTCCCTCCTCCTAGGTCACCCTTCCCTGCCATGGAATCTGCCAAGTTTCCCCTCGAATTTTTCATAACTGTTGCCACAAGAACAGAAAAGTGAAAATTCTGATGTGAAAGACACTAGAAAAACAAAATAAAACATTTCTATTACTAGGAGGAACTGAGGTAGAGAAAAATCAGTACAAGTAATTTTGTTAAAATACTTTGTTGGCATAGCTCAAGCTGCTTTGTCTATTGGTTATTCTTTGCCCGATTCTGTATATGATCAATTCACTGCTACTTTGGGGTAATTATTTTGTTCATTTCTTTTTGTTTTTGGAGAGAGTTTCTCTGTGTAAACCGATTCTGGAACTCACTCTGAAGACTGAGCTGGCTTACATTTTCCTGTCTCTGTCTCCCAAGTGCTGGGTACTATTTTTTAATTAGAGCAATAAAGCTATTAAATATTTGGTGCTTCTATTCTCTTAATTTCATTTGGAAGTCCTAACCACGACTCCAAGAGGATAGAGGTGGGATTTTCTTAAACCTATACAATGTATGTCCTCATTTAAAGGGATGAATTAATAGATTTGTGAACTGGTAGTTTCCCCCTTCTCCCTTTTTGCCTAAAACACTCGTCTGATAAAGCTACCAGTCTTTTGTAAGAAACGGGTTGCATAATATATTAAGATGAGATTATTCCAAAGAAGTACTACATAAATATGTTTGCTTGTTAATATTTGTCAACTTGACACAAGCTAGAGTCATCATAGAGGAGGAAGCCTTAGTTGAGAAAAATGGTTTCATTAAGATAGGTCTGTAGGCAAGCCTAAAGGTCATTTTCTTAATTAGTGACTGATGAGAGAGGACTCAGCCCATTGTGGGTGGTGCCATCCCTAGGCTGGTGCTCTTGGCTTCTATAAGAAAGCAGGTTGAGTAAGGCATGGGAGCAAATTAATAAGCAGTACTCCTTGTTCTTTCAACAACTTTTGCCTCCAGGTTCCTTCCTGAGTTCCTGTGCTGACTTGATTCAATGACAACCCAAGTTGCTTTTGGTAATGATGTTTTATCACAGCAATAGTAACCCTCACTAAAACTTTTAATACATAAATATTTTCATGTCAGGATATTACTTCAAACACACTGTCATGTGTATTAGGATTTCTTTCAATCACTGTGCACACACATGCATGTGTGCATGTGCACGTGCACACAGACACACACACACACTAATATATATGATAATGGCAGATCATGTTTTGTATTTTTGTGGGTGAAATTTTAAAAATTTAAAAGGTCCTTTGGTTTGTTTTCCCAAGGCAATTATACCCCAATTTTTCTCAGTCAAGGTGCAGTGTGATTCTAGTTTATGAATTTCCATTCACTTTTTTGTACATGCCTAATTTTGCGGAGGCACTTCTTACTCGGGAAGTTGCTTCTACTGGTCAAGACCAAAAGTCCTCTTTCTATTTTCTATTTCCTCCACCTTCTTCTCCTCCTCTTTTTCCCAGAAAGAGTTTCACCATGACACCATGGATGGAATTTTCAGTCTTCTGGTCTCACCATGTAACCACGAGTTACTGGCTTGTGACACTGTATATGACTTTACTATTAAACTTTTAAATCTAAAGAGTGGGTCCTGAACTTGAATCCTTCCTGTTCTTTAAATGCCTGGAATGTTCATATAAACTGTTGCCTTCAATAGGGCTAGCTATTAATTTCATCCTGTACCTAATATCAATCACAGATGTTTACCGAAGATCTTGGAACAAGCAATATCTAATGTACTAATGCATGCTATCTATTCAACTATTATATAGAGGAAGGTAAAACTTTACTGTAAGAACCTTCATCTGGGCCTCAGAATGAATTTGGCAAAAATGTTTTATATAACTTAAGAGAGAAGGCAACAAGACTCTATACACAAATAAAGACCAAAAGAAATGACAGATACTTAAGTGTTTTTATTCCAAGTGGAGGTACAAAGAGGCAATTGTGAACTCCAAAGAAAACTAAATATTGTTTTAGCAAATTTCCAAATTCACTTAACCTTCAGTACCTGACAGTTTGTTACACAATGATCTCATCTATAGCCTTTTGCTGAGGGATATTTCATTTCTCCTGTTTTAGGAAGAGAATAGGTAGCTATTAGACAATACTTCCCCATGCTGAAACAAACAAAACAAACCTAAAAGACCTTGAATTTCTTCCATTGTTCATTTTCAAGTACATGGTAATATTTTATTTATAAACTGAGGGGACTACATGCAATTAAGTGATACCAAGTAAAAAGTAAAATGAATTAAAATAATACACAGTTTAAAAATATTGAAACCAGGCATTCCAATATAGCCCACTGTTGATCTCATTTTCAGATGGAGAAGACGGTTCCTTTCAGATGACACAGTAGGCACGAAGGTAGCTTTTGAGCCTGAGCAAGCTTCCTACACAACTGTCTTCATTACGAAGCTAGGTCCCTTCTCTTTAAAGGAACTTTATTCATTTATTTATTAATCATCGTGACATCCTATTAAAGCCTTATGGAAATGAATATTGAATCCAGAATCCATTTTTAACCCTTGGTTTTAGGGTTATGGAGACAGCAAGAAGAGCCAAGCTCATTTAATACTGCCCATCTTATTACAGAAAAAAAAAAAAAAATGGTAACTACTTACTGCCTGTCAGCACCTAGCCCAAAAATACTAGTTTCTTACAGAAAGAGAAAATATATAAAAAACAAAGTGAAGGAAGAGACATAAAAGCCAGCACAGCTAAAACCTAAATATTGAAATACTGGGCCATCAAGGGACCCTATTGTCTTGAGACACCTATTGATGACAAGCAGTTGACTGCCAGCTTCTGGAAAAAAAATAAATAAACTACCTAAAAGTACACCTTTAATTTCTTCCTCTTTTGTTTGTTTCCTGGGTATAGGATCAGTACACCTTTACTTTCTTCCTCTTTTGTCTAGAATCTAGGGCTTCACACTGGCTAAGCAAGTGCTGTCGTCTCCCTTTTAACTCTCCCAATCTCTTGTTTTGAGACAGAACCCTTAAATTACCAGGTCTACTCTTTATACTCACCGTGTAACCAAAGTTCAAACTTGTGATCCTTTTCCTCTCAGGGAGTCAATGCTTGCTTTCATGATATAAAATATTTTGTAAACCAGTGTGTTGACTTAAAGCCCTAGAAAACATATGCAAACAAATTGCCCATTTAAATTACAACTTGGCAACTAGGCAGAATATTAGGTGTAAGAGCAGCATCTGTAATTTCAAGTTTCAAAAATAGTGCACAACTACAAAACTTGCAAACTTGGAATATCCCAGCATAATGTAAATAGTTGCTGCAGAGACTACATCCAATTACCTATTCAAACACAAGACCTATAGCTTTCTTAGAAAGTTCAGTTTTACAGATTCCCAGTAGGAGCAGCACAACTAAACGCCTAATACTATATCCAAGAAATGATATGGAAGATACAAGTGGTACAATCAACATGTACACAAACAAGTTAAGAAAATCCGGTTTGAAATTAAATACATCAACTACTGACATAATTTGAAACCAAATTTCGAATTACAGCTGCTTCTACAGATAACGTGGGTGGCTCTGAAAAGAGCCTTTGGGTCGTACTTTGCACTAATTGGAGCTTAAGCCCGCTCACCGCGGATGCGACGGGCCAGCTGGATGTCCTTGGGCATGATGGTGACTCGCTTGGCGTGGATGGCGCACAGGTTGGTGTCCTCAAACAGACCCACCAGGTAGGCCTCGCTGGCCTCCTGCAGAGCCATGACCGCCGAGCTCTGGAAACGCAGGTCAGTCTTGAAGTCCTGCGCGATCTCGCGCACCAGGCGCTGGAACGGCAGTTTGCGGATCAGCAGCTCGGTGGACTTCTGGTAGCGCCGGATCTCGCGCAGCGCCACGGTGCCAGGTCGGTAACGGTGGGGCTTCTTCACGCCGCCGGTGGCCGGGGCGCTCTTGCGAGCAGCCTTGGTGGCCAGCTGTTTGCGCGGGGCCTTGCCGCCGGTGGACTTACGAGCGGTTTGCTTGGTACGAGCCATTGCAGGAAGATAAACAAGTATAGACTGCACTGTTTCGAAAAGCGCTGTCCATCTTTTATACAAACAGACTACCCGCTATTGGACCCGAAAACATTCAAATGAACCCGCGCTTTGCCAGGATTGGTCGGTCTTAAAATGTGCTTTCAGGGTGTTGAAAAGACATGCCTCGTTTCCGCCCCTCCCTGCGTCCGCCCATTCGCTCCTCCGCCATCTTTTCTTCTGCTTTTATGTCTTTATCACTATAACTGCTCTGGACAGAAATTTTGCACGGAATCTATATCCAGTAGACTCAGGCAAAATATATTGAACTCAGGTAACCATACGTTTGACCACAGAAATGTCATTAAAAAGGTTTTTCGTGAGATTGACGAGATATTGAAAGATGTGCATAAATACTGTTTATCACTTCCAAAATCATTCTTGGATGCCCGATAGGCTTCTCACTGAGGTAAGTCCTGTCAGTGAAAACCAACGGACACTACAATCTATGAAGTGTGCTTTAACGCTGAGTAATCGTTAGTCCTAACATTTACATCCTTGATATAGAAGGCTTCTTTCCAGTAGTCAGGTGCTACTGCATTGTTTTAGTTATGTTTACAAACGACACTCAACCGGGGATCCACTTCTTCCGAAAAACTCTCACATTTTTACGAAGATTCAGAACAGTGCCAATAAAGCCACACGAAAAAAAACCTGCCACACAAGAACTGGAGCAAAGGGGTAAGGAAGCAGTAAGGCTAAGAATGGACTTATAATGAGTCAGCAGCTCATTTTCCAGGAAAAGGTGGGTGGCTCTGAAAAGAGCCTTTGTTTTACGTTAAATTCCACCAGTCAGTCCAAGACGAAGATAAGTTTTATTTCCCCTTGGCCTTGTGGTGGCTCTCAGTTTTCTTGGGCAGCAGCACCGCCTGGATGTTGGGCAGGACGCCGCCCTGCGCGATCGTCACGCGTCCCAGCAGCTTGTTGAGCTCCTCGTCGTTGCGGATGGCCAGCTGCAAGTGGCGCGGGATGATGCGAGTCTTCTTGTTGTCTCGGGCAGCATTGCCGGCCAGCTCCAGGATCTCAGCAGTTAGGTACTCCAGCACGGCCGCCAGGTACACCGGGGCGCCGGCGCCTACCCGCTCTGAGTAATTACCCTTGCGGAGGAGGCGGTGCACACGGCCCACAGGGAATTGCAGGCCGGCACGGGAAGATCGAGTCTTGGCCTTGGCGCGAGCCTTGCCACCCTGTTTACCCCGTCCAGACATAACTAGTAACAAGGAAAGGAAAAAGTAGAAAAGGATCTATTGTAGAAGAAATACAGAACGAGAAATATTTATACTAACTGGAGGGATTCTGATTGGTTAATATATCATACCCAATAGAAAATAAGAGTTTGGCTTCCTCATTTGCATACGCCTCTTTATTGTCAACTCGGTTTTTTGGTTTCTTTAAATTTCTACATAAACAAACAAACAAACAAACAAACAAACATTAAAAAGGTCCCGGAAGTTGAACTGTGATCTTCACGATTAAGAACCAAGAACTCTTCTTACTTCCTTTCCCAACCTTTGTTTAAATGCAAATAATTGCCATTTTATTCTCAAGATTTTGATGTTTCTAAAACCTCTTAAATACAGAGCAGGGATGTTTCTGAGTTGTCCAGACCCACTGGTTCTTTTTCAGGGTTTAGAATTATGCCTTTTGAGACAAGAGAGTGAAGAGCTTCCTCCATTTTATATTTGTGCTAAGATCATTTCAGGTTTAACTAGAACGAGGTCTTGCATAATCCCATTCAAAAGCATCCATCTCTATTCTAGGAAACAGAGGTGAAAATGCCCCAGCTAACTTATCTTCTATTAAGCTGCTCCCCGCTAAAAATCGTCCCTCTAAAGTTGCAGAGAGATACACCAGCTTGTGGGCTTTGCCTTTAAAAGCCCTTAACTCTAAATGCTCCGAACTAAGATCCTGAATACCCAAGGAACAAATAATTCCAAGTGGCTATAAGCTGAGAAATCATCCCTGGTGGGTTTCCCATAAGAGGCTGAGCACCTATTCTGCTACTCTGTGCCAAGCTTTATTTTACTTTCACAAATCTCAAGAAGAAAAAGACACAATGTGTGTGTAATATATGTTATATATTTGATGCATATATCATGTAAACTATATTTTATCGTGTGCCAATTTTTTTATCTCTAAATTGCTTGACAGTTGAAACTGAGAACATTGAGACTCCGCTTAGTCACTGACCCAAGAGAACATGGAAGGATATGAGGTCAATGAGATCCTGTAGTATGTGGAGTGAAAAAGCATTCTTGTCTGAGTGATTGGAAAAAACCTAGGTAGATTTAGATACATCATTTACTTGGCCAGAGGAAAGACTGAGTTAATGAGACTCCCCTGCTTGCTGGAAAAGCCTTCCCCATCTTTGTGCCAAGCTATTCCCATCACTATCTTGTTCTTTTTTTACACTTGCCCATAATACAATTCATTTTAATCATTTCCCAAACTCCCTATTATCCTACATTGTACTATTTGTGCACACCCAGCTGCTGAGTGTAAGGGCTCATCGACTGATATGCTAGGCCTCTGAAATACAATTATCGATGAATGAACAGTGGAAAACATAAATTAGCAGCCTGGAAGCATCACTAGAAATAAAAATACATACTCCAAAATCCAGTGTAATTTATGTGGTTCTGTGATGAAAAATCACTATAGACCATGGGAATGTAAGTAAGAAAGAACAAGTAGCTTTTTTCGAAGGAACTAATACATATGTGCTCAAGTACATTAAATGAATGATAACAATGTTTAGGGATAACTTGTCTTGCTTGTCCTGTTTCAGCTATATAGAAGGGATTTATCAAAATTGAACCTCTTTTGTAAGGTTTGCCTTTAGAAGGCTAAGAGGGGGGTCAAGAAATCTATGTATTATACTGGTAGTTTCAGAATATTTCATAACTGAAGGATTTTTGAGAAGCATGGATTACCTTAGTAAATGGGGAAGAAAAATAAGGAGATGAATAATGAAAGCACAATAAAAGAAAGGTTATAAGAATGCATGGTTTTAAAATAAAAGTGATTAGATTATGTTGCCATTAACAATTGCCAACTGGAGGTTTGGAGAAATAGGAGTTCGGAGGTTAAGAACACTGGCTATTCTTCCAGAGGTTCTGAGTTCAAATCCCAGCAACCACATCTTGTCAAACAACCATCTGTAATGAAATGTGGTGCTCTCTTGTGGCACGTGGGCATAGGTGCAGGCACTGTATACACAATAAGTAAATGTTTAAAAAGGAAACAAAAAACATCAAAAAACAAACAATTGCCAACTGGAAAAGATTTAGGAAACTGATCATACACACCTTTTGAAGAGCAAAATGGTACTTTGCTCAGTGTAAACAGCCATTCAGGAAGGCAGGTAGAGAATAGGTATGGAAAATATTTATCACTGAACCCACATATCACACCTCTAATATACCCCCCCCCATAATGGGTTTCCATAACTGCATAGAGAAGTATAAAAACATACTTTTATTATTTAAAAAACTGTCTCAGTTTACCTGCCATATCTGTATTTGAAATTACTGGTAGTAGTGAATATTTTAAACAATGGGCATATTTTCACACACACACAAAAAAAAAGATTCACACACACATAATTTCAGTCATAAGACCAAAAGCAAGCAAGCAAGTAAAAACAAACAAACAAACACCATCATGAGTTCCAGATGTAACTGGGTGAAAAGAATGCTTGCATAATATTCATGAAGTCCTGGGTTTGAACGCCAGAACCTTATGAACAGGTATTAAAGGCATAGTCCTACAATTCCAGCTAATCCCAGAACTTCGAAGGTAGAAGCAAGAAGATCAGAGTTTCATGTCAACCTCAGCTACCTAGTGATTTCAACTTCTTAATCTAATTTAAAATTTTGCTCAAAGATGCTGAAGGCAAAATTGAGAAGCCTTCGTTTTCCTACCTGCAATTGAAGCAAGAATGGAGCATCCTTTGGCTTTTCTTTATACATTTTGCCCCCTATTTCTGCCATTTATTTTGTTGATAACCTTCCTTATTTTCCAAAATTTGTCAATTGTTCCTTCCAATATGGCATGATATAAAGTAAAACATCAACTAACAGGAAATAAAGAGGAAAAGTGGGCTAGCAAAAAGCAAGAAAACAATCCAGAAAATAATTCAGAAAGTGGTAAAAAATACAACCAGGTCTTACTCCAAAGGGACATTCTGTAGTGAAATATCTACCCCGCCTGCCCCTGTTGCCCGTGTTGGGCGTGGTCACAGGTGGGGACATGACCTGTGGGTGTTAGGTCTGGGATCCTGGACCACAGCTCAGTCTCTTACTTCATGGTATGAGACAGAGAACGTATCAGGGAGCATCCTCATAGCGGTAACATCTGTTTCTGATGTGATTTCTCCCTGAATAAACATCCATCAACCCATATTGTGTCTCAGAATCTTATTTCCCACGCAACATTCTCGTGTCAGAAGTAGGATATACACGGGACCTGGGGAGTTATAATTTTACCTAGCTGGAGGGGCCCCGCCGCTCCCCCTCCCAACCCACCCAGCTACTCTGAAATTGCTTGATCCCTCTTGAACACATGAGCTTGTAAAGCCACTGCCCCAGACCTGAACCAGAACACGGTGGCTTGCCTAACCCCAGAGTATACGCTGCAACCAATGGGCCATTTGTGTCTGCTCTGCACAAGGCCCCGAGACTGCACTCACCGCCTCCGGTGCTGCCCCGTATCCCTCACCCACCCACATTGCCCTGAGACTGCTACTCCACAGCTACTCCAGGCACAGGCCCGCGTTCCCCGCTTGTGTGCTCCACTGCCCTCTCGAAGGCGGAATCTTTCACTGCTGTGTCGTTCCCAGTACTAGCAGAAACAACACCGGTTATCCATAAGGTCAGCTGTAAGGTCTCGGCAACCTGCGCTCCATTTAAAGAATTTTGACTTGCTTGGAGTTTAAGAGATATTCTACAGGGATCAAGAGGGATC